CAAAAATGCTTTTAGACCCTTCCATCAGATCCATCAGATTCAGCATAAAAAGTTGACCATGGAACGGTATTTTGCATCACCCGTAAGAGCGCTTTAGCTGAGCTACCTGACGTTTACTATGTATCTCAACATGTACCGAGAAATTGACCTGGAAGTCCAGAATTTTGATAATGAAAGGTAATTTTTTTTTGATCAATAATCTTTTCTGAAGTGGATCAGGCATTTGATGGAGAAAAAAACTGAAAAAAAACTTTTCCAAAAAGTGGTTGGGTCTCCATGGATTTACCCTCACATCAAAATCATCATCGTCATCGTTGCTTGGTCCTAAGAATTTAAAGTCTTGCTCATGCAGAATCATCATCATCATCCTCAGATTCATCACATCAAAATCATCATCGTCATCGTCGCTTGGCCCTAATAATTTAAAGTCTGGCTCATGGATTATCATCATCATGACTGTCATCACATCCAAAATCATCATCGTCATCGTCGCTTGGGCCTAATAATTTAAAGTCTGGCTTATGCATTATTCTCATCATCACCACAATCATCACGTGATCATCATTAGATTCATCACCACCACAATCATCACGTGATCATCATTAGATTCATCACCACAATCATCACGTGATCATCATTAGATTCATCACTTCAAAATCATTATCGTCACCACTGTTCTAGCGGCAACAATTGTACGTCTTGTTCTTGGATTTCCATCATCGTCACTGTCTTCACATCAGAATCAGTATCAGATTCATCACATCACAATCATCATCGTCATGATTGTTTTAGGGGCAACCCAGGTCGAGCAATCATATTGTAAGCTGTGATAAGATGTTTCATCTGATCTTATGTGATGTTGCACGATCATACGAAAATCATACAAAAAATCGTAGTCTCTGAGAGCTTATATCGAGTCGCACAGCAGATTCTTGAAAGAACTTACGCATTAATAAGATCTTTCAAGAATGTGACTGTGCGACTTGATATAAAGGTGATGACAAATCTCAAATTGATACCAATTTTCACTAAATATCTGGTCTTAAATATCTGACTTTTAAAAAGAAAACAGATATTTACTTTGGTATACAATTCATAAAAAGCATGAAAAAAAAGATATCAGATATTTACTCTCGACGTTAAATTTAAAAATTATTCTACAATACAATATATGAGATCGCCTTATAATGCCTATAATTTGAAAAGTCATGAGAAAACAGATATCAGATATTTACTTTCAAAATAAATTTTGCATACTATTATTAAAGAAAGAAATCAATCAAATTCTATCTGCTTACAAAATTTATAATTAGACAGATCTGGGTGTATTTTTTGTGTGCATGTTAGAATCAACAAGTCTACATAATGCTATTTGAAATACATTTTCTTCGATTTATCTGTTATATTTGACTATTTCGATAGTTATCACTGAAAGGAGCTGCTCATAAGATAGTGAAAATTAAATATCCAGGGGAAAAGTTCGTCTTATTTTTGAGTTTTTTAATATTTCTAAAATTATCAGCACATTGCTATTGTATATGTTATACTAGAATTCATTAACGTCATTTGTATGATGAATTCAAATAGAACGCTATTTAAAAACAACTGGACATGAATATAAAGAAGATAGAAAGTAGAAAATAAAAAATAAAAAAATATAACATCATATGAGGTTGAAAACTAAAGATAGAAAATTAAAACAACTTGCCTTTAACACACATATACAGTACTGTGAAAAATTATAGACTCACCTTACTCCTGTGCCTTTTGTCGATTTTTTGTTCTCTATTCATGTTGATTTGTCATTGCAAATTCAACGCCAATATATAGATTCAGATGTGCTTTTTCAACATTTATTGAGAAAAANATCGAACCAAATTCTAAAAAGCTTCAAGTGAGTCTATATATTTTTTCACAAGCAGAAACATTGACTTTGTTTTTGAAAACTTTTATCTGTGAAACTACGTCATATATGAACTTTTTCTAGAAAAAATTCATATATGACGTAGTTTCACAGATAAAAGTTTTCAAAAACAAAGTCAATGTTTCTGCTTGTGAAAAAATATAGACTCACTTGAAGCTTTTTAGAATTTTATTCGACCATTGTTTTCAATATTTACTGAATGTTTTACCACGAGCTAAGATACATTGTTTCATCTATTTTAGATTATTTTTTCGCTTATTGTTTTATTATTATTATTATTTATTTTATCGCCAGTTACGGACCGTAGCAAAGTAACTGCTGACAAGAAAATCAAAATTAAAACATTATTAGAAATCGGTCTTTGTCAACGACAAGTTGCACGGGACTCAAATGTTTCACAAACATGTGTTGCACATGTGTCGAAAAAGCTAAAACAGAATTTACCTTTATCAAATTCAATCGGACAAGGTCGGAAAAAAGCATCAACACAAGATAATGATCGTCAATTATCATACATTATGAAGAAAGATCGAACAAAATCCAGTCAAATGTTAGCAGCTGAATGGACTCTATCGAATGGTAAAAAGTTATGTGCTTTAACTGTACGTCGTCGTTTAATTAGTATGGGTTATAAGAGTTACACAGCTAAACGAAAACTTTTAAGAACGCCTGCTCAAATTAAAAAGCGTCTAACATTTGATAAATATCATCAATATTGGTCAAATGAATGGAATAATGTTATCTGGAGTGGTGAAGCACATTTTGAAGTTTTTAATCGTAAAAATCGCACTCTTGTTCGTCGTTTAAAATTAGAAAATAATGAACTATTCAATTTTGTTTCACGTGTAAAAGGTGGTGGTGCTACTGTTAGTGTGTAGGGATGTATGCCAGGAGGTGCTCGCGGCCCACTTACATTAGAAAAATGGGTAGTCTACCGAACCTTAATAGTTCCGCATTTCTCCACCGAACGATTTCAAGTTCCGTAGAGTGAAAACCATTCCGTGGTCTCCTTTCAGAACTATTTTAAGTTCAGCAGATTTCATCAGGTTTCGCAATTTTGCGCCTGAACTCTTCGAAGGTTCCGTAAAGTGGTTTGTGGTTTTGTACGTCATGTACAAATCCTCTGATAGTTTTGTGAAATGGCAGAAGGTTTCTTCATATACCCACCGAACCACTGTTGGCTTCGTGAACGAGCCGAAGGTTTCTTATTATCTGTGCGGAACTTTTCGACACTTTCTGGTTGGCTGAAGGTTTCGTAATATGTCCACGGAACCATAGCTGGTTCCCTAAACTGTAAAAAGGTTTGGAATATTTTCTGGAAAACAATTGCTGGTTTCGTAGAACATTCGAGAGTTTCGTACTTTTTGAGCTGAACGATTCCCACGTTATTATCCATGTCAAAGTTTCGTATATTTTTGTACCAAACCACTGAAAGTTTCGTAAACACTCTCGAGGTTTGGAATCTTTTCCACAAACCCACTGATATTTTTGTTCACGATCCAAAATTTTCATATTATTTCTACGCAACTTTTTCACCCTTTCTAGTGTGCTTTACGGTTTTGTAAAATACCGACCAAACCAGCGTTCTTTTCGTAGCCTATCTCAAGGTTTCATAGGCTTTACAGTTAATTTTCACCGGTTTATTATCTATATCAAACTTTCTAAAGCTTGCCGGGGTCCCAGAGTCCAAATCCGTTAACCGTTTTTTATCCGGGCTTTCATGACGGAGAAAATCCGTTGATCAGAAGTCCAAATTTCACAAGGTAGACTTTTTCTTTCAACTCTGATGTAAGTTCTGACCAAAGCTTCCTTTAGCTTATCGGGGTTCTTGAGTCCAAATCCGTCATCAGTTTTTCTCTCCGGGCTTTTATGGCTGTGAAAATCCGCCGATCAGGAGTCCAAATTTCACAAGGTAGACTTTTTATTTCAACTCGGGCGTCAATTCTGGGGTAAGTTTGATGTGATGAAAGAGAACAATTTTTTTCTTCATCATTGATTCATTCATGTAGAAGGTTTCAGGTACATTTAATTTCATAAAGTAACAGAAATTTGTTTTGTTTAATTATAGAAGGCGTCAAAGAGGCAATTTCGGGTGAGTTTGATCTTGTATAATTTAATGTATTTGATTTGTTTTTTGTTCTAGGTTGATTCTTATACGTAGTTTTAGGTAAGTTCTCTCTTAGCAAATCAAAGAATTATTCGTTGTTGTAATTCTAGGTCAAGATAGAGATGACGTTTTAGGTAAGTCTGATTTTAAGTAATAATAACTTTTCGCTAATTTGTTTATTTTGGATTGTTTCAAGTAAAAGAACAGTGAAGTAAATTTGATCTTATAAAAATGATTATATTTATTCGTTTCTGTATTTTAGGTCGTTTCAATTATGGAAATCAGGGGTGGAGTTGGTTTTAACCCTCTGCTGCTGCCCGTGGTATGCACACTATTCGAGTATTTCTCAAAACCCGAGTACGATACATATCAAATGAATCAAAAGTAAGATGAAATAATCTATAGAGTAATTTTCTGCATTCAAGGAAAATCATTCTATCGACTATTTCATCTTACTTTTGATCATTTGATGTATACCGTACATAGTGTGCATACCGCGGGTGGAGGCAGAGGGTTAAATGAAATTTTTGATTGGTGAGACAATTTGGAAGACGGTTTAGTGAAAATAGTTTTGTACTGAACCTTTGTTGGGTACGAAACCTTTTTTTGAATGATTTTTAAAAGGTTTCGTACAAAACCATTGCTACAAAATCCGTTTTTTAAATTATCGTGAAGGGGGCTGATACAAAACCTCACTTTTACAAAACCAAAAAAGGATCTGACCGTGTGCCGAGGTTAAGATTCTTTTTTAGGTTCTGTTAAAAACCTATTTCTTTTAGAGTGTATGATCTATACTGGAAAGATGAATGGCCCTGCATATATTACAACAATTCAAGATGCATTACCAATGTTTATTGGTAATGCATTTGATACAGTAAATGATAATTGGATTAATATGCAAGACAACGCACCACCTCATACATACAAATATTCAATGAAGTGGTTCAAATATAATAATATTAATGTTTTAAAATGGCCAGCCAGTTCATCTGACCTAAACGCCATCGATTCTATGGATAAAAATATTAAGAAAATGCATACGAACAAACATAGAACAATTATAAACGATGACTCAAGATTTGTGGATTGGTGTTCTACAATACAGTGTCAGAAATTTGTCAATTCAATGCTACGGCGTGTGAAACAGTGTATCTTAGCTCGTGGTAAAGTATTGAGCAAATATTAAAAAGAATGATCGAACCAAATTCTAAAAAGCTTCAAGTGAGTCTATATATTTTTTCACAAGCAGAAACATTGACTTTGTTTTTGAAAACTTTTATCTGTGAAACTACGTCATATATGAACTTTTTCTCAGTAAATGTTGAAAAAGCACATCTGAATCTATATATTGGCGTTGAATTTGCAATGACAAATCAACATGAATAGAGAACAAAAAATCGACAAAAGGCACAGGAGTAAGGCGAGTCTATAATTTTTCACAGCGCTGTATATGTGTATACGTATATTGCACCGGATCAAGCACATGCACAATTGAAAAGAGAAATGAAAAGGAATAGTTTTAATGATATCCGGTTATAATTTGTAGATGGATGACTGTAAATATCTGATATCTGCTTGTCTGGAGAGTATACATATTAGTGGTAAGATTTCAATGACTCATAATAGGCATTTCTTTTTTTATTACATTGCACAGGATTCGTATTAGAATGATAATAGCTCAAATAGATCTGATTATTTCTAGTTGGTAAAATTATGAAAATTATAAAAATTTGAACGATAAAATTTTGAAATTTTGAAATTTAAAATTTAAAATTTTGGCATATAAACTTTGAAAATTAGAACCAATTTGATATTTGTCACTCCTTGGTATGGTATGCCTGTTCGGTCAAGTTTTTTTGAGGAAAATACCCAGGACAAACAGTTAGATACTAAGATCTGATAAGAATCTGAATCTGATCTTGTATGATCTTACAAGAGCATACGAAAATCATACAAAAAATCGTAGTCTCTGAGATCTTATATCAAGTCGCATAGTCAGATTCTTGTAAGATTTTGCCCATATTCAAAGATCTTGTATGTATGTCATAAGATCTTATGTCAGATTTTTCGACCTGGGTAGCGAGAGCAATGCTAGCTGTACGATCGTGTTTGGGGTCTGGTATACTTGTGTCTTATACGTTGAAGTATTTATGTAAAATCAACAGACATCTAAGTGCACTGTAAAAAAATCGTAGAATACTTAGCCCTAGTACTAAAAAAACGGTTTCATAAACCTTTAAAGGGTTTATTATTATATACTTGTGTGGAAGGTTTATTATTGTACCCTTTCATAAAATAGTTTCTTCCGCTAAAAAATTTGAAACCAGACAAGTCATAGATATATATCAAAATGACGTTGACTTTTCTGGTTGATGACACTATTCATCAAGTAATTTTGTGATTAGATAGGAAATCGTACAATAGAAACAAAGATTAATGAAAAACAGAATAACTTTAGCTCTCTGTATGTTGCAATAGTTTGTAATCTCACATTAAAAGATTATCATTCTCCATTAATCAGATCAGCCTGAAAAACAAAATGAAGCTAAATTCTATGTAGGTGAGGCTTCTTTAAAAAAAAACGTTAGTATTTATTCATGAATCTTGAATAATTTTGTCCATAAGTTAAAAAATTGCGTGCAATTTTTTTTTTGAATCAGCCGCTTTTGATTTAACTTTTTCCAAGCGATCCGACCAAATGCAAGCATTATTTTTTATGTATGCTTATTGTTCCTTTTTCAGTCTTTTAGTTGGATAGAAAAGAAAATTGAAAATTGTAGATAAATATAATTATTTTTATTAAAATTATTGTTCTTAATCTTTTAGTTCAATTTCACATTGGAAACTCTTGGTAAGTAAAATCTTTCTATTTTAATTATTGTTTTATCCTTTTAGTTCTATTTGGAATTGAAAATCGTAAGTAGGTATACTTTTCTTGTTAGAATTATTCCTTTTAATGTTTTAGTTAACTACAGAAGTGAAAATTCTAGTTAAGTATAATTTTTGCATTTAAATTATTCTTTTTTTTCTTCTTTTAATCAATTTTTAATTCAAAATCGAACGAAGTATAATTTTTCATCAAACAATTCTTATTTTTATTCTCTTAGTGGAAAAGCGGATTCAAAATCATAGGTAATTATTATTTAAAAAAAAATAATGTTTTTAATTTTTCTCAAATAGCTTTCCTTCAATGAATCATCAAACTGAACATGGTTCTTGGCTAAAAGTAAGTTTTCCGAAAGCCGCTAGAAGGATATTTGAAAGGATTTAGTAAGATACTAAACCATTCTATATACCATTCTATAAACCCTTTTGAAAGATTTATGAAAGGGTTTACTATTCTACGTTATTTTTACAGTGTGGTTGAGAGAGGCTCTTTGTTAAAGTTTGAGCGATTCGTCGTTGGATTCGGTAGCCAGTCTTTTGGAAGTGATGAGGACGTTTGTTGTTCAGAATGAGTGATACAGTGTTTTATTTTTTATTACTGTTTGATGGTAGGATTGATTTTCAGTGGGATGGAAAGTATTTCAAGTGGGCTTTCCTTCTGTGTCGGGTAGAACTGGTTGTCTATGAAAGGCAACATGGGAAACCGGTCGGTGAGCGGTGGGTTATCATTTGCCTCAAATTGAAATCCCCAAATCGATCCCCCCAAAAAAATCCCCGATTTGCGGATGATAAAACAATTCTGGTAACCAAATGCGGATTTTAATTTGGGG